GGGTTGTCAGTGGCTGGTCACAGAAGTGCCAATGTAATTAAAAACTGTTCCTAGCGTCACAACGCAGAGTGTGTGTAAACTGTGTGCAATTAAAAGAACATGCCCATTTGCAAACCATTTATGTTTACTGCATTCTGCATAGACACATAGACACAAACAAGTGAATCATATAATTGCATGAAAGCTAGCCTCATGAATTGCACCATCCTCTTTCAGTAAATTATGACTTCCTTTGTATCAGAACTATTGGTGGTATACAAAATGCATCGAATAAACTATCAGACTATGTTTGTACGGTATGAAACACCGGGATAGTCAACTGCAACTGGCTCATGCAGATCAACGCATGCAAATCAACTTTAAAAATCTGGGGAAAATGCGAATTGGCGAGTTAAAATAGATTGCTGCAAATCGCTTTCTCAGCCGTAATGTAGGAAATATATACCAAAGCGTAATCACGGTAAACAGAACACATGTTCCTATCTCGAAACCAACCGCTGGTTACAAACTGTAAATCGCTATTAGGCTTTTAAACCCTTTATATCAGCCGGATCGAACTCCAATCTTTTTGAAATAGATATCCAAGCTCGAACCCAAAATATTTTCTCAGACTACGTGTCTGTTGTATGATAAGTGGTAACGGATGTTAACATCTTTTCTGCGTTTTCACAAAAAATCAGTTTGACGGAGCTACTATATTTCGGCAAAATTTCATATTTACTGTTTGGTACTTGATGGATATAAATTATGTTGGCGCTTCTATAGTGATCAAAGTGAAACGGAACATGATCTTTAATTAACAGTGACTGAATTCAAATCTGAAGAATAATGGTACGTCGCATTTGACTCAAAGTAACCTGTGAGTAGTGGCGTGTCTCCCTTCGTTGCTGTCCGGCCAAATGAACTATCACTGAAGATGACACCTAAACCAACATGAATTGACAATTTGGTTCAGCCATGGTACGAGCTGCTTGGAACAACGGTAACGCATATGCCTTCTATGCGATGGGTCTTGAGTTCAAATCCCGGACGGGACGCTGGATGTGCACCACTGATGAGCTCCAATAAGAGCAAAACTCGAGTCTAGTGCTTCCGAGTGTATGGTTGAATCGATGAAATGAGGATTATGCGTGAAGGTGAGGTCTGAAGGATAGTCAGCTCAAATCAATTGGTAATGGTATGCTTGCGAATTGCGTACAGTCCACTGAAGTCAGCGAGTCCTTACACGGGGTGATTATTCATGGAGGACAGGGGAGTGAAGCATAAAATGTAGACAGACGCGTACACGTGTAAGCGAAGAAACTGTGCTTAGCTGTTCACCCCCACCACCAACCAGCGCTTCAACAGGAGGCTGGAGAATCGTTGTACTGAATGATTCTTATCGGATCAGCGTTATGAGACTTGAACAACGAGGATGGCTGGAAACTTAGTTGAGCCCAAAGTTCTATGATAAAATCAATGGGGTTGGTTGTGGGACAACTTGATGTGATATCG